CCGCAGTTTGAGGACCCCTGCTCTAGCTAGGCAGGGACCTGGAATGCTAACACTGCCCAGTCCCTCAGAGTAAGGTCTGCATCCCTCCTGATTTCAAAGTCTCCAACCAGCACTGTGCCCTTCAGTTGTTCCCGGGTGCTGTCCTGACCCATAGCAACCCCATGCAGGGCAGAACAAACACCGCCCGGTCCTGCGCCGGCCTCACAGTTGTTCTTGTGCTTGGGCCCATCGGGACAGCCACGGTCAGTCCAGCTCATTTTCATAAAAGCTCTTCGCCTTTACCAGGGACTGGGCTCTCCTGGCGTATCCAAAGCCCAGGAGGCGAGGGTCGCCATCCACGTCCGGCTGTCCTTCTTCCAAGACAGATCCATTTTTTCTCTGACTGTTCACGGCGCTTTCCGTCCTCGGCCCCTGCATCCCACGCCCTTCCACCACAGGGCAGTGGCATTTCGGCGTGGCTGAGACGAATCCCCACCTGTTTCCCATGGAACCACAGAGGGCTCTGCGCCTGGTGTCCGGCACAGTGGGTTTTCCGGGAGGGCAGCCTCTGTGTGTCATCTGAGAGAAGGCGGTTCTCAGCTTTGTTCTGAACTGGACCAGGACGTTGGTCGCCACCTCGGGACAACCTCGTCTTGGGACAGCAGGGCCTCGCGTGGGGCACTCGAGTCAGGCGAGGGCACGCTTCCCTCGGCCTGGCCTCCCACATCGGCGTCCTCACCCGGCTGGCTGCCTCACCCCTGCTCATCATTCTCGGACGGCTGTCACTGGGGACAGCTGACACGGATCTTGGCTTCATTTTAGACTCTGGGCCAGGCCCTGCCGCTCGTTGTAAAAATGAGTTCCTTGCCTCCCCGCGAGGCCGGTTTTGCTCTCGCCCCGCCTTTGACAGAAAGGGAGACTGCGGCATACTTACAGCTCGTCACTGACCCAAGGCCACTCCGCTGATAAACGGCAGAGCCGGGACCTGGACCCGGGCCGTCTGACACCCACCCGAACCTGTGTTCGCAATGTTCATTCTCAACCTCTTCTAAGCACAGACGCTTAAAGCGGCTGGGGGCAAATCATACACTCACTGAACAGTGCCCTGATCTCAGTGAGTCATCACCCACGATGGGAGTCCCACCCACCCCACACACACATACCCTCAGCCACCACATTGAACGTGGGTGGCCCCAAACCCACCCCGGAGTGGAGGAAGCCGGCATGGAAGTGTATTAGCTGCCCCAACTCTGTTCACCCGGAGTCCTAGAACAGGCACAACCCCACCGTGCAGCTGGAAAGGGGGGTGAATGGTGACACCGGAAAGGCATTGACAGAGCTGGGCAGCTGGTTGAAAGACCGGCATTCAAACCCACAAGGGGCAGAGTCTTGGTCACTGGCTCTCATCCCGATGGTGGCGTGGGAACCCTGAGTGTGTTTCTGTCTGGTTAGGAGTTGGGATGGACTGGAGGTGATGGGGCTGGCTGGGGATGGGAGTGGCTACAGAATGACATGGGGCTCTAGTGCAAACCGCCCCCCTGCCCGCCACTGGGGTGGGTAGAAGGGAGCTGGGTGTGCTCTGGCGTGTATGTGGGGGGGAGGGGTGCTCCACCTCCTGGGCAGTCTGTGGACACAATCGGGGTGGCGGGGTGGGGTGTCCCAGGGGCATTGCTCCTGCCAAAGTCCAGTAACCGGAGCCTAATGGGGAGGAAATACCCCAAACTGTCATTTCCAAAGGGGCCACCACGGTCCCGGGTGACAAAAGAAGACACATGAGCCGTGCCAGACAGAGGGGACTGGAGATGAGGCTCCTGGGAGAGACAGCATCCAGTGGCCTGGGGGGTGCAGCTTCACAGTGAGTGTGTGGGTGACTGTGATGGAGTGTAACTGTGTGTGTGTGTGTGTGTGTGTGTGTGTGTGTGTGTGTGTGTGTAAGAGAGAGACTGAGAGCGTGCAACTGTGGGAAGGTGGGTGTGACTAGGAGAGAGTGTGTGTGCATGTGACTGTGATGAAGGTCACTATGTGTGTGAGGCTGAGAATGCGCCCACGGAAGACGGGAGAGTGACTCTGAGTGTGTGTGTGACTGAGAATGTGGGAGGTGGGGTGTGACTAGAAGAGGGTGGGTGTGACTGAGTGAGTGTGTGTGTGTGCATGTGTGTGTGAGAACAGCTGGACTGTGAGAGGGGTGGATGGGTACCGTCAAGAGCCCATCCCCCCCAAATCAAAGAAATAAATAAAAAATAATCATAATAAACAAAAAAGAGCCCAAGAATGCTGGGAAGTGTGTGTGTGGGGGGGATGAGTTCCTGGACTGTAGGTCTCCCCTAGGCTGAGGTCTGGCATGTGGGAGTGGGCCCTCCAAGGCGGACATTCCAATCACCACTAGCACCTGACCAGGGCCGACTTCCCACAATGCCTTGGTCTGGCCCTCCGGACAGGACACCGCCGCACACTCTCTCCCTCTACATCTGCCTCTCTCACGAGACGGCTCCCGCCTCAATGTTTCTCAAACTGTGTTCTGAGGAACTCCGGCACAGTGAACACGATTCCGCAGCCGGTGAGGTGACGGTGACTGCTGCGTGTCGCCTTGCTCTCTCCGCCGGGGACAGTCTGACAAACACGGGGTCTGAGAGGCCCCAGATGTGGCTGCTGATGACCCCAGAGTCACGTCAACCACCCCTTTCCCAGGCAGACTTTGGGAACTGCTTGAAGGCGACTACAACTGATGGCCCACCACCCCTCTCTCGATCTCTCAAACTGGGGTGGACTGCGTGTTGCAAGGCCACGGGGTGACTGGCCCACAGTGAGCAGGAGCTTGTAGACCCAGACAGACGAGGAGAAACGTGCCTGGGGACCTGCCTCCCCAAATCAGCCAATGAAAACTCTCCGAGTCACGCAGGCTACAGGGTCCGCTGCAAGCCAAGCCTGGCCTTAGCAGCACCCATGGCGTCCCCGGGGTGTGCAAATGAGGACCACGCTCCACTGCTTCACTCAGAGGGGCCTCAGAAAAAAGGCCTGGCAAGAGCTTTGTGTCAGGCACCGACAACGCTGACCCACGGGTTGCCGGAAGCCGGCATCCACTAGACCACACGTGACTCAGATTATTTTGTTTGTTTGGAGTGTCTCGGAGGTGCAGGCAGTCTCAGCTGCTAACCCAAAGGTTGCAGGTTCAAGTTCACCCAGAGAGAGCGCCCTCAGAAGAAAGGCCTGGTGACCCCTCTGTGGTAGGGACATCATCTGGTGTCAAGTTGAGCCGATTAAGAGTGAAGGGGTGGAGTTTAGCCTAAGTGAAGGGGTGGAGTTTAGCCTGTCAGTCAGGTCGCAGCTTGATGACCTCATTGGAGGCGCCACGGAGATCAATAGCTCACTGGAGGTGAGACACACTCTCCCTGCAGAACATTCCTGCTGACAAGCCACATGGAGCTATGTGGATGGTCAGAGCCCTGGAGCTGGAGGAGCCAGTGCTGAGATGCATCCACGCCACTGGATCCACAAGACTTCCCACCCACTGGCCTGTCATCTTCCTGCATTTGGGGTCATTGCATGCGTTGCGTGAGTTTGAAGAGCAATTTATAGTTTGGTATCGGACATATAGGTTAATATCAGACTTATGGACTTGATCTGGATGGGGCTGGGATGTTTGCTCAATACTCAATTTCTCTTGTATATAAAACTCTTTCTTATCCACATATGACTGTCTATGAATTTGTTTCTCTCAGTATACCCAGCCTCCACTCTGGTGCTTCTAAGATCACCACAGGTTGGAACCCGCTGGCTGTGCCTCTGGGGTTAAGAAACCTCAAGCTTGCAGGGAACCAGCTGAGGCCAGGCTTCAAGGCCCGGTCCCCTGGGGTGACTACCATCTGACTTTGTTACCTTCTTGCAGCCTGGCTGTATGGTGAGGAGAGAGGGGACATACAGGCCTGTGGGAGGAGGGCATACCCATGGGGTTGGGAAATCTGATCTGGGCCGTGGGAGACTGGGGTGGGCAGAAACCCTCTGTCAATACACCTAGAGCTATGGCTCAGTGCAGCCTGCCCCCACTACCACCCCCGACCAAGCTGGTGCTCTGTACCCTCTCTGACTCACCCCCCACCCTCCCAAGCCACCCTGGCAGTGGCCTCCTGTAGCATGCCAGGGAAGATGAGAACCAGCAGCCCTGCGAACACCCTGATGGTCTGTCCCTAAAAAAGGAAAACAAACACCACATCCAAGCTCCCCCCCAGAATGAAATGTCACATGGCAACTCAAGAGAGCAAGGCTTATTGGCGGCTGCCATTAAGCAACCTGGTGGTGGGGCAGTGGGCTAGGCACTGGGCTGTGGGCTTCAAGGTCAGCGGTTCAAACCCACCAGCTACTCCTCAGGAGGAAGCTGAGGCTGTCTGCTGCTGTCAAGATGGACAGCCTCGAAAACCCACAGGGCCAGTTCACCTGTCCTGTAAGGGCAGCTCTGGGTCGGAAAGGACTTGCCAGTAGGGGGTTAGCTGACTCCTGGGGGCCCCATGTGCTACTCGATAGAACTGCTCCCTGGGGCCTTCTTGGCTGTAGGTGTTATGGGAGTTGATCACCAGGCTTCTCCTCTGCGGTACCAGGTAGGCTAAACCTGCCAACCGATAGGTAGGTAGCTAAGTGCAAACCACAGGTGCACCCCAGGAGCATGAGGGAGAAGGGGAACCATTCGAGGAAAGTCAGGTCTGCAGATGATGAAATGAATCAAGAACCTTCTCCCTGAAGGAGACAGTGAGAAAGCTTTCCCCTACAGCGGTGTCCTGCATCCAGATTTCCAGCATCCTCAATAGCGAGAAAATCCCTTTCTGTGTGTGGAAACCACCCCCTTGTGGTACTTTTGATCCACGAGCCCTGAAGAAGTGAGACTGTCAGATGGCAAGCATCACAGGAGCACGCCAAGAAGCGATGGCCCACCGGGGTCCCCAGCCTGCCCCATGAGGTGCCGCGCCCGCACCCCTCCCTAGGGGCACCCGCAGCCCGCACTCACAGATGATTTCCTCATGGGTGAATCCTAGGACCCTCAAGGACTCCAGTGTCTCCTGGAAGAGCTCTCTCTCCTGGCCAGGGGAGGATGAGGGCCCGTTGGTCAGGAAGCGGTAGTTGGAGCACGGTTCTAGGAGCAGGTCAGCTGCAGGGGGGAGGGGGGGAGGACCAGGTGAAGCAGTGGACTTAGACTCAGCATTCAGCTTGTCGTCGTCAATGAGAGGGTGACTTTGGTTTGAGTCATCGGCCCACTGTGACCCTCGGCCTCTTCTTCGGTCAAATGGATGAGGCGGCTTCCATTATGGGTGGGATGGGAAGAGCCAGGTATGGAGTGAGTGCTTCGGATAAACTATATCATCATTCTCTCTCTCTCTCTCTCTCTTTCTCTCTCTCCTCCTCATCCTCCTCCTCCTCCCTTCGAGGGTCTCCATCCTGGAACTCCCCCAGGGCAGGCAGGAGCCCCACCACCTGGCAGGAGCCCAAGTAAGCCGAAGCCACGGGGTAGAAAGGAGGCTAAGTGGTTTCCAAAGCCAACAGGAGCCAGAGCCCAGGAGGCTGTCAGGCCTAAGACAGATCAGCCACGAGGCTACAGGGCTGGGAAGGGCCAGAATGAGGACCATGGGCAGGGCAGGGAGGAAAGCCCGGGAAACAAGGGCCAGATGGGACGGCC